TGTAAAATGCTCAGTCTGCAACAGAATGTGTTGATTTGGTTGATCAGTTTGTCAACTCTCACTGCTAAGCTGAAAATTCATGGTATAGTTGAGCCTAAGGAATCTGAGCTTTTAAAACGTTTTACATGGCTGCAGTAGTGTGGGGAGAAGGGTTCAGGTCTCTGCAATGGTCACTGGGACAGATAGTTGTGGGTGAAGGTAGTATTTTCTACCCAGCACCCACATAGACCACAATAACAAGCCAGCAGAGTGTCTAACTCTTCACAGTTCTGTTTGACCATAATACAGGTTTACACTGGTTAAAGTAGGTATCCAATGAATTGCTATTGCTGAATTGGTAAAGGGACCATGACTCTTTAGAACAGGGGTAGGCAACCTTAAAGAGGTGGAGATCTACCTGAACATGGGAGAACCCAAAGCTCACCAGGCACAGTATCTCCTGGTGTCGGCTGCTCACACCTGATTTAAACCTCCAATTGCTGTACTGCCGTGTTGCATTTACGTACATTGGGTTTAAATCAGGTGGTGAGGTGGCAACATATTGCCTCCTCACCCGCCTGTAAAACATACATGGATGCTTTTGTGGGGTCCTTGGGGTTAAAGTGGCCTCATTCACTTGAATGAGTCATGCTTGGCAGGTGCTACATGCAATAACAGGACGTATAGCTGAGGCTTCGGCATGTGTACACCCCTGGCCACTGCTGTTAAAGGGGGAGCGGTTAGAAGGGGGGTTGTAAAAACTTGTCTTAACTATGAGGTTACCACCCTCCAAACTGCAAATGTAAGTGAACCTTTACTGTTCTGAGCCCCCTGTACAGTAAGGCTGCCTTCACACAGATGCGCTGCTGTTTAACCACGGTGTGGGTGCAGCACACTGGATCTGCAAAATTTGCTTAGCTTTGCCATAGACCTCTATTTTATCATGCAGGTGTGGTGCAGTTTTTTGCATTCAGGATTTTGGTATGCTCTCAGAAAGTGCATCAAGCCCGCAGGTTATAATAGAAGTCTATGGCTAAGCGCAGCAAAGCCACAGGAAAGCTGCAGGTATGTTGCAGTGCACCCGTGGTGTGGGTAAATTGCAGCGCATCAGTGTGAAAGCAGCCCTATACTACTATGCCCAGGGTATTGCTTCACAGGGACCTGAAGATCTCTTCTTTGCTGCTGCTGGCACCATTCTGGAGACTGCTAGCCGGGACAAGAGGTGGAGTGCATTTGGTGTCACTTCACATGGGCCAGGAGCCAGTACAACAGAGAATGTTTTGGCTTATTGGCTCTTGCTCCCCACCACAGCTCCAACTTTACACGTAGTCTCTCTGCATTGCACTCTGTTTGATGCTCTGGGATGGGCAGGTCCGCAAGCCCAGACCGTGATCTACCAGTCACCTGTGCGAGATCTACTGGTAGAACGCAACCTATGGATTGCTGACCCCCGCTTTAGAATGATCTTCCATATGGCATATACTACATTGATTCCTTTTGAAGTGCACAGTTCAGTGATGGGTCGGTTGGGGATGTGCAATGACCACAACAGAATGTTGTTGTGCCAATACGATTGACATTGTAATGTGCCATCGCATATAGGATTACTATTGTATATATCAGAAGCAGTCTTCTTTCCAGTAAAACTTCAGCCAGAACTTTTCTTAACCCCTTCCCACCCGACATCATTTTGATTGGGTCTGTACGCTCGGAGCTGGGAAAGATCGGCAATCATGTGACCACTGACTGGTTGTCAGTGGTCACATGATTGGGAGCCGAGCTGTCTTTGGACACATTCAGCCTAGAAACTTTAGCCGCCCAGTGACTAATTTATGTGTGTGTGGGCATTAAAGCCCATCCTTCAGCTGCCGCACATGTGTTACGGGCAGCAACAGGTTAAACATTAAGGGTCACAGGGTCGGAAACACATTCTGAGACAACTGGATTATACTGCTGCCTACAGGGGCATTGGCTGGCAAACAAGGTGTTAGCCAGGTGTAACTCCTTCCACTCCCATCATTCCTAAGGTTCTTGCTGGTGCCCTATGAGAATAGATAACTTTTCTCCAAGTAAAGCAAACTATTCTACCTGATATTTTTTCTTTGTTTGCTTTAGAGCTATGAAGGTTAGCAGTTTCCCAGATCAGCAGATCATTGGTGATACCTTGGAGGCAGCACCTGGACCCCACCATTATAAAGACACAGGGCCTGCCTGTAACATGATCCTCGAGCACTGGGCTCTGCTTATGGCACTTTCAAGACACTACACTCACCGGTCACTTTATTAGGTGGGTTTGACCCCCTTTTTGCTTCTGAACTGCCTCAATCCTTCATGGCATAGATTCAACAAGTTGTTGGAAACAGATTTTTGTCCATATTGACATGTTACTGTTGCCTTTCTATCTTCTCGAACCAGTCTGCCCATTCTCCTCTGACCTCAACAAGGCATTTTCGTCCACACTACTGCCTCTCACTGGATATTTTTTTTTTTTTTTTTTTCAGACCATTCTCTGTAAACCCTAAAGATGGTTGTGCGTGAAAATCCCAGTAGACCAGCAGTTTTTGAAATACTCAGACCAGCCTGTCTGGCACCAACAACCATGCCACTTTCAAAGTTACTTAAATCCCCTTTCTTCCCCATTGTGATGCTTGGTTTGAACTTCAAGTTGTCTTCACCATGTCTAGATGCCTAAATGCATTGATTTGCTGCCATGTGTTTGGCTGATTAGCAGTTTGTGTTACGAAGGAGTTGAACAAGTGTACCTAGTAAAGTGACTGGTGAGTGTATGTACTGTTAGCTGTAGTGCACTTTACAGGTCCAGGACTTTTGTGCACCCACTGGCATAATCCTGTTCCTGCAGATTATCTTTAGTACTGTTTTTTCATTTGCTACAGGGTGCTTTTAACACCACTGATGATGTAAGTGTTTTAGGGCTTTGCCCTTTTTTTGGAGCCTAGTGATTTTCACAGTCTCTTGCCGACTCCTAAGTGGTTCAAACTTGGAGAATTTGAGGAGTGTAACCTAGGCTCTTTGGTTGATTTTCTGCCTGAGTAGGTTCAGTCTTTTGACAATACCTAAGCTTAGAGAACATTTTGGTTCCTATTGATGTGTCACATACATGTCCTTTTTACATGAAGCTCCCTGTAGCTGAAAGCTCTGTTGCAGTTCTGGGCTCCCTTTTTAAATGTCGCCAACCTGTCAAAAGCTTCCCAGTACACTTGATACTGCAAATGTGTTTTGTATGAGACCGGTCTAATCCTGACAAGCTAGTTTTTCTCCTCCAAAGTGTTTTGCTGAACAATACCATTTTGAAGAGGCATTTCTTAAAGTGGGCAGTTTCCACTGTGGTTCCTGCGTCTCTTGCCTTAACAAAACAATGACTGTTCCTGTTGAAGACCTACTGTACCAATATTTAGGGATCCTGTTGCCAATTTACTGGAAACCTGGAAGTCGCTGTTCTCCATAACAGGCCCTGCATTGTAATCTGTTTTGCTGCCATGTCCTTTTGCTAAACCTTGGGAGTATAAATCAAGGATAAGACTAAAACATCCAAGTTGGTCCTAAATGATCGTTTGGTTTTGAAACATTTAGAGCTGATGCCTGTTGCCTTGCAGCACTAGCACTACTGTCTTGATGGGCTTGTAAATATTATACTTTACTTATCCATAAAGTGAATGGGAGAGAACTTTTTTTTTTTTTTTTTTGCTAAAATGCTGATTTGTATAAAATTCTTAGGTATGCCTTTTGAGGAAGTACCCTTTTTGCCCCAGCAAAAGAAGCCTAAGTTTCAGGCTGGAAATTGCTCTACCTGCATGGGATCTACCAAGCTTCTATTCATCCGTGAGATTTTCTGGCTTCTGTGGACATCAAAGATACGTTCTTGCAAGACTTTTTCAGTGTATCACCATTAACTGTTCTGCTAGGAACATACAACACTACCAGGATATTTCCCTTCCCTTCTGTTTACTGCATCTGGAGATTTTACCAAGGTTTTAGCTCTGGCATCTGCTCTTACATTCAGAGGGTGTTCCATTGTGTGATGCTTAGATGACCCTTATGCCGGCAGAACAATTGGTTGTGACCCTGTCAGACAATGTCCAAAGGGACTGTTCAGGCCAAAAAGGTTTGGATGAATCCTGAAACTTAAAGTCCTCATTGGAACCTACTCCTTGGCTTCAAGTGTTTTGGTTTCCTAGATGCTGCTTAGTCCAAGGCATTTCTTTGACATGACAAACTGCTGACCCTCCCATGTTCAGACTTTGCAGTCCTGTTGGCCTTGAAGATTCTCAGCCTTGCCAGGCTTACCTGCATTAAGATAAAAAATGTCTCACTAGTTGTATTGCCCCCATTTCCCTTTTAGACTTAACTTGAGTCTAGAGCTCTGCCCATCTCAGTGGTACTAGTCTGTCTCTCCTCAAAAGCTCAGACAGCAGTAGGAGCCATTGGCAATCAAATCCTGTGAGGAAGGAGCTGGAGGTTAGGATTATTCGGTTGGGTTGGCTATCTTCACGGTTGACTGTCATCTGAACTGTGGTTTTAAACTTTATAACATTTACACTCATGTAAACTTGAAGCAGTGACTGTACTTTTTTTTTTTTTTTTTTTTTTTAATTGTCCAGTTCTCCTGTAGGGAGCACAGCACCATTGTCTTAAGAATTCTTTCTGACTCTTTGCCCCTTAAACTCCAAGAAAAGGGTTTTTCATCAAGTCAAAAAGCTCAGTTTGTGGGGTTTTTTAGATGAGGATTCTGAGGTTGTTTTGATGTGTCCCCGGACACAGCTCTCTCCTAACATCTGTCGAACAAGAAGTGATGAGAAATTTCTCTAGGGCACACACACTGCAACAAAACTTATGTTCTCAGCCACTCACTGCATTTCATATAAAGCTTGTCATAGATACTTGAAGTGAGGTGAAATCTTGTAACCATGTCATGGACAGCAATAAAAACTTGGCACAAGTATTTACACTTTTAATGCAATAGTTTGTTCAGACCTGGGACTTAACGAGTTCTTCTCTTCTAGGGCACAAAACTGTGGATCATTATGGAATATTTAGGTGGAGGCTCTGCGCTTGACTTGGTAAGTATTATGGAAATCAAATTATATAAATTGCATGTTACACCAGAAACAAAGGTTTAATACATGTGCAGGCTTATGCATAGAATTCCTAATAAATCCTATATTTTTTTTTTTTCTATTAAAATTCTGGTGATCCTCCAGATTTTACCTTGCTTCCGTTTTATCAACCTGACCACGCCAAACATGGAAGTAAATCGATGCTGAAGTGGTCCGTTTTCATTCCTGTGATTACTTTTAGGAGATACAGGATGCTGTGCCTGCATCTCCTATAGTCTGGATGCATTGACTCCCACCCAGCCCTGCTCTGCCGATTCCCCTTGAATTGCTGCTGAGAGATGCAGGACAATGTGACTATCTTCCATACTTATTTTAGCTGGCATCCCCCCCCCTTCTGATTGATCACCAAGAGCACTCACTGTAGAAGCTGCAGCACACACAGGGAACATACTTCTCCGCTGTGTAACGTTGCACACTGCTGGCCCACCTGTCCACTATGCACATGCGCCTCCTGCTGTTGGAGAGTACAGAGGAGGTCAAATGACTGCAGAGTATTACATTTGGATAAAGGTGCTAAACATTGTATTTTTTAGAAGAAGTAAATAGTATTGTAGTTGGTAAATAACTTTTGCCTTGTTAGTCATTTTGTAGTTGTGTTCACACATACTTTAGGAAATGCATCTGGAGGCCAATGTTTCCTTCAAATCCTTTTGCCTTTACTTAACAATGGTGAGGCCCAATAACCACTCCTTAACAGCACCTAGGGCATTTATGGTGTGTTAGTGCAGTATTTATAAAATAGCTGGGCACTGGGGGAGAGACAGTGGAGGCTCCGGTATCCCAGAATACACTGGGAAATTATAATGAACTAGGACACAGCAGTTCCAGGTACATCTGGTTATACAGATCAGCTGTCTGGTAACACAATTTACTTCTGTGTGCAGACAAAATCATCAACCAGCTAGCAAGGTTGGAAACGTCAAACTTGTGTGTCACTGTGCAGCCAAAGAAGTGTTTACACTGTATATACTAAGCAGTTGAACACAAAAGGATTAAGCCACAAAAAATCCTAACACAAAATAGGTATAGATACAGCGCTAGAAGTGAGACTCCCTAAACCTAAACATATTACATTTTTTTAAGATATTTTAAAAAATTATCTTACATAGATCTCGGAAGCAGGCAGGTTCCATGATGGATGTGGGCATCTGAAGCCCGCTACTGTGTACTTCCAAGATTGGGTGCTTCTGACTATCCCAGCATGCACCTCTCCATCTAGCACTTGCACAGTAAGGACACTGCGTGGCGCATGTTTAGAACAGGTTGCCATAATGGTGGCGACGGCGGAAGTTTATGCCCAATTGTTATGGCAGCCTGTCAATCAAAAGACAACCCTGGGAAGGCAAGTGTCTCCGCCTGGCATTGTCATTTCCGGTTTGGAAATAACGCCATGCTACAAGCGGGGGATGCTTGTTGATTCCCGGGATTGATGACTCATCGATCCCAGGAAATAATGGGTGGGCTGTGGCGAGGTACAACGGAAGTTCATTTACAATGGCTCATAAAGGTATGTAAACTTTGCAAACAAAACCCAAACATTGTGTGGACACCACTAACGAATACTTTTAAAAAATGTTTAAAAATAAGGTGGAACTCCGCTTTAAGCAGATCCAGCCACGCTGCTGTCTTTTGTTGTAGACCCTACACTACATGTGTCTATAATCACTTCTGTACATTTTCAAGGATAATCTGTCTAGCAAAATGAGTGTTCATTTCATATTGTCTGCATATCAGTGTTGCATAAATGTGAAATCTGTGTGGTTTACTCATCTACATAAACACTTACTGGTCACATGGGGGATTTTTGAGGTGTTAACATTTTACATTAATTAAAATCACATCTCAAAGTTTTCAGATAACCTAAATATAAAATCTAGTCTCAGAGGATTTTACAGACCTCTGCTTCTTCAGAAAGAATGGGAATAATTGTGTAAACCGTTTTGTGACACCCCGATATGGGCATAACCAGATCTCCTGAGACTGCGGGGGATCGGATGGACCCCAGAACATGTAGGATTCCCAGGGTACACATTTGTCATTTCTCTTTAACACAATCTTAGCCCTAATAAGCTTAGTCTACATCGTGGAGGATTGTTTTATTAGGAGTGCCATGTTCTATATCAGATGGAATTGTGTGGCTGAGTGCAGATCCCTATTGATAGACATCATGTGAAGTGAACAGGGCGTAATGTTCCTAAATCCACCTTTCATTTTCAGTCAAAACATACGAGAGGATCGTTTGCAATTTCTGGATATACAGTGCATTCTTAAAGTTTCCAGACCCTTTATTCAATTTTGTTATCTTGCAGCCTGCAACTAGAGTTTTTTAAAATCATTTTCTCTTAAGTTCATTGACGGACACACCGGCTTCATCTTTAACCTTAATGAAGCAGGCGTGGGTGTTCTCTAGGTGGGTTGGTCCTGTGGGGGTCCCGTCTCACCCAACACATTCCAACCCCTTCCCTCCTCCCTCCTCCCTTCATGCAGCTGTGCCCTGGAAAAGGCGTAGTCTTAGTCTGGGTACCTCATTCTTGGCTGGACCCTGGTAGTTCAGGCTTCCTCTTTCTCTGTGGGCTGGAGCTGGAGGGGGCCTTATCCTGGTGTGGGGGGAGGTGTCAATTATGGTTTGCAGGACTGCCTGAATCGGGGGTGCGGGGCACGCTGCATGTGGCTGGGATGGGCAACGGCCATGCTATTGTAGCCGCGGTGGCCATTTTCTTGAATTTTTTCGGCATCTAGTGCCAGACACGGCGGACATTATTCTGGAGATTTTCGGCCAGTGGCCATTTTTTGGGGGGTCAGAGTAGCTATCAAGCTATGCAGGCCGGCTGGGGGAGATCCTTGGCGGCCACTTTAACATAGCACGTGGCAGGGTTCCCTCAGGCACCTTGGGCTTGTGAAAGCAGGGCTCCACACATGCTGTGCGGGAAAGGCGGCAGGACACGTGGGCACCTTGGCAGTTCCTGGTGGTGGTATGGAGTCTTCCCTGGGGGTCTTTCTCTCCTTTCTCCCTACTGGGGTTGTCTTCTGTACTGGGAGCTTCCAGGTCCCCTTTTGCGGTGCTGTCTAGCTTGGGGCACTGGTCCCATTGAAGCTCAAGAGCATGCTGCACCTCTGGGGCCCCCTCTTGTAGGTCCAGTGTCCCTCACCCCTCCTGGAGACGTTCATGTCTTGCGTGTAAGCAGCAGTTGGCCATAAGGTGAGCAAGAAGCAGCCCCTGCCATTGCCCTAGTCTTCGAATGATTCTGAGACCAAACCCGCTGCCGTGAGCTCCACATTTACCGCAGATCCTGAGGACGCATACCCTGCTTCCTTGGATAAGGAGGACAGGTCACTGCCGCACAGAAGGCATTGGTAGCAGCACTTATTGATTCAGTGCATGAAATGCTAAAGATTGAGGACCCTGCTGGGTCGGCTTATGTGGTATCTGTTCCTTTTAATATGCACAAGCTGGTTCGGGCGCTAGTTTTTTTTTTTTTTTTTTTTTTTTTTTTTTCCCCCCTTACCCCGAATATTTTGACAGATTTGTTTATAAGGATTGGAGTAGGCCGCAGCATCTGTCTGTGCTTCCCAAATCTTTGCAGTGTGCTATCCCTTTGAGGAGGCTCTGCTGAAGAAGTGGAGATCTCCGCTGGTGGTCGATCCTCCTATCTCTATGCTTAACAAAACCACATTTGATTTCTGTGGCGGAATCCCCCCTCATTTAAGTACCCTGCGGGGGCGGAGGCGGTGGCCCATTTGATGTTCACTGTCGCCGGATGGGCACTTAGGCCGGTGTTAGCTATGGCCTTGGTTTCCCAGACACTGACTGAATGGGCCAAGGCTCTATGACAAAACTTGACTTCTAGTCAGTTGCCCCAAGCGTATGTGGAGCTGGCAGAGCAGTTGGTCCAGGGCCTAAAGTATATTTGTGACGCCGCCCTTAATGCAGCTCCTCTTCTTCTTTCCAAACTGTCCATCTCAGCCGTTGTGCTCCAGAGGGTCCTTTTGCTCAAGTGTTGGTCAGCTGACCAGACCTCTGAGAAGACTCTGGCAGACCTGCCCTTTCTTGGCAACCGACTTTTTGGCGCTACCCTGGATGACATCAACAAGAACCTTACTTGGGGGCAAGAGTATCTTCCTTCCTTTCTCAGGCCAAGAAGGGGAAGGAACCTTGTCGGAAGTCGGGGCCCATAACCGCATTTTTCGCCCCTCTGGCTCCACAGCCGAAGGTTCCAGGCCCTTTAAGGCCCCCACAGGTGTCACCAAGCATCCCTAGCCCCAGAAGTCTTCCAAGCCTGCAGATAAGTCTCCTTCATGAAGGCTTGCCCCCACCCGCTTCCAGGGTAGGGGGCGTCTTTGCAGGTTTTCGGGCCCGTGGACCTCCCTCATTCACAACATCTTTCTATGAGAATTCCCTTCTGCTGAACAGATTTTTTTTCCCTCCAATTTGTGGCTTTCGCCAGGTCGCCTGACAAACTGCTTACGGGGCTGTGCAGGAACTTCTGCTCCGTGGAGTGATTCTCACAGTACCCGTTTCGGAGCGTTGTTCGTGGCTTCTACTCCAACCTGTTCACTATTCCCAAGGTGGACGTAGTTCGCCTAATTCTGGACCTCAAGGCCATGAATGTCCTTGTGCAGGTTCACAAGTTAAAGATGGAATTTGTTCGTTCAGTGGTGGCTTCCCTCCACCAGGGAGATTTCGTGGCCTCCTTGGACATCAAGGACGTTCACCTGCACATCCCCATTTGCAAGGGGCATCAGCACTTCCTTGGTTTTGCTGCCAGAGACGCGCATTATCAATTTGTGGCGTTGCTCTTTGGTCTGGCCTCTGCATCTCGGGTGTTAACCAAGGTCCTGGCCTTATTGAGACGAGGGATCACAGTGATCGGCTACCTGGATGATTTGCTCCTGTGTGTGGAGGCTCGCTGTTATACAGTGTGGAGATCACTATGCGTTGTCTA